TGATGACCTGGTACTGATTTCACAATCTAAATTAGGCTACAGAATGCCATGAACAGTGTGGAAACATACTGCAAAAAGTGGAATTTAAAAATTAACACAACAAAATCAAAAATTATGATATTCAACAAATCTGGCAGAGTTCTCAATAAATTCAAATTCACAATCTCTGGCCAGCAATTAGAAAATGTAGCCTCCTATGCCTACCTAGGAATCAAATTTAATCTAACTGGGAAGCTCCACAGAGTCCAAGAAGACCTGAAAAATAGAGCTCTAAAAGCTTATTTCAAAATGAAACAAATTTTGTATTCCGACACTGCAGTTCCATTAAAAGTACATATAAAAATGTTTGATGCTGTGGTAAGACCAACACTGCTCTATTGCAGTGAAATATGGTCAACTGATGCAAAAGATTTCTTTAATTTGACAACACCTATGGAAAAATTGCATGTAAAATTCTGTAAATCTCTTTTAAGAGTAAACAGCAAAGCTACCAATCTTGCTTGTCTACTAGAACTAGGAAGATATCCATTAGCTATTACTAGTATAAAACAAAAAATTAAATATTGGTGTAAAATAAAACAAACAATGAACAACACACTTCTTTCAGAAGCCTATAGACTTGGCATTTATTTAGATAATTTAAACATCTATAATTGGACATCTGGTATAAAGAATCTGTTGACTCATTTAAACATGAATCACATTTGGGAAGAAAACCATTACAAGGATGAAAAGCTGCCTAAATCAGTCTCTGAAAAGCTTGCAGCCAACTTTCAAACATACTGTTTAGATTCAATGTATGATGATAATAAGGGAACAAAACATCAGAATAAACTCCGCACATACAGACATCTAAAAACAAAATTCACTTTTGAAAACTAGTTAGAAACTGTGCAAAATCCCTTCCACAGGTCATCCATGACCAAACTAAGAATCAGTGCTCATGTGTTAGGAATAGAAACTGGAAGACACAAAAACATTGACATTTCAAAAAGAAAATGTCAGTTTTGTCAATTAA